AATTTCATACGTACTTTAGCATGGAGGTACACTTCTATGCACACTTTACCAAGGAGGAACAGTTTCATACAATGTCATGTGTCGAAGTTTGAAGGCTTAGTGTACTTAAGGTTAAATAAATTGTGTTTTAAGCTAACATAATCAAGTCAGAAAGGTCTTGTTAAAGTTCACTGATTATTTCTTTATTTCATTTCTGAACGTATAAAAGGGTTACGTTAAGCTTCGATGGCATTTGACCGGATCATTTTTGAGAGAAACTGGACCGTAATAGTTCAGAAAGTGGCGCACGTCCAAAAATTGAATTTTCAATGGAAGCTAATTGCCGCATATTTTAGGCTAGTGAAATCTAATGATAGACTTGATTATTTGGAAAGAACATTTATGAACAGTTATTCCGATTGGTCAGGGAAATTAAAGGCGTACACTTTGGGAAACAATTTATGGCTACCACTTGCCAAAATTTTTTAGTTCAATTTTTCTTGAGAGAAGATTACGTCGACTCAGGGAAAATCCAGAAAGTAGTGTTTCTTCGATAAAAAGAAACTAGTAAAAAAGGTCTAGACAGCTGTCTTAAAAAAGAAGACAGGCTATAGGGTAGGACAATTTGTTGGAAAGAAACGGCATTAAGGAAGCAACTTCTGAGAGAGAGAGAGAGAGAGAGAGAGAGAGAGAGAGAGAGAGAGAGAGAGAGAGAGAGAGAGAGAGAGAGAGAGAGAGAGAGAGAAAGAGAGAGAGAGAGAGAGAGAGAGAGAGAGAGAGAGAGAGAGAGAGAGAGAGAGAAAGAGAGAGAGAGAGAGAGAGAGAGAGAGAGAGAGAGAGAGAGAGAGAGAGAGAGAGAGAGAGAGAGAGAGAGAGAGAGAGAGAGAGAGACTGGGATAAGTCAAAGAACCCGATGAGTCAAGGGGAAATCCAACTCTATATGAGTCGGAATAGTCAAGAATCGAAATGGATCAATGCACACGCATTAGTCGAGAAAACAAGTACAGGCGATGCTGTAAAGGCGTGGGAATTGCGCTCATAATTCAACACTCGTAACATGATGTAAAATTGGACTATCACTGTAAATCAGTTGGATAGGAAGGAGAATTTAAATTATGCATTAATTGTTTGGAAAGTGAATTTTGTTTATGCATTAATTCAGTACATTTAATTTAATAAATCTGTTGGATGAAAGTGATTTTCGTTTGATCATATATTAATTGATTACATTTTTAATTTTTATTTATTGAAAGGAGCTTGTTGTTAGTTAATTCTTTCGATAATTTGCTCAGCTATCCTCATTTTAGCATGGAGGAACACTTTTGCGCACTTTGCCATGGATGATCACTTTTATGCACACTTTGCCATGGAGGAACACTTTTAAGCACATTTTGCCATGGAGGAACACTTTAATGCACACTTTGCCATGGAGGAACACTTTTAAGCACATTTTGCCATAAAGAAACACTTTTAAGCACACTTTGCCATGGAGGAACACTTTAATGCACACTTTGCCATGGAGGAACACTTTTATGCACACTTTGCCATGAAGAAACACTTTTATGCACACTTGGAAATGAAGGAACACTTTTAAGCACACTTGGACATGGAAGAACACTTTTAAGCACACTTGGACATGGAGGAACATTTTTATGCACACTTTACCATGGAGGAACACGTTAATGCACACTTTACAATGGAGGAACACTTTAATGCACACTTGGACATGGAGGAACACTTTTAAGCACACTTTGCCATGGAGGAACACTTGTATGCACACTTTGCAATGGAGGAACACTTTTATGCACACTTTTCCATGGAGAAACACTTGTATGCACACTTTGCAATGGAGAAGAGCTTTTATGCACAATTTAGAAAAAGAAGCACGTTTATGCACACTTTATAATGGATGAGTACTGTTATCCAAACTTTACCATTGAGAAGCACTTTATGCACACCTAGGAACACTACGCACACTTTAAAATGGAGGAAAACTCTTATGCATACTTTAGAATGGAGGACAACACTTATGCATACTTTAGAATGGAGGACAACTCTTATGCCCTTTAGAATGGAGGACAACTCTTATGCATACTTTAGAATGGAGGACAACTCTTATGCATACTTTAGAATGGAGGAAAACTCCTATGCATACTTTAGAATGGAGGAAAACTCCTATGCATACTTTAGAATGGAGGAAAACTCCTATGCATACTTTAGAATGGAGGACAACTCTTATGCATACTTTAGAATGGAGGACAACTCTTATGCATACTTTAGAATGGAGGACAACTCTTATGCCCTTTAGAATGGAGGAAAACTCCTATGCATACTTTAGAATGGAGGAAAACTCCTATGCATACTTTAGAATGGAGGAAAACTCTTATGCATACTTTAGAATGGAGGACAACTCTTATGCATACTTTAGAATGGAGGAAAACTCCTATGCATACTTTAGAATGGAGGACATTTCTTATGCATACTTTAGAATGGAGGACATTTCTTATGCATACTTTAGAATGGAGGAAAACTCTTATGCATACTTTAGAATGGAGGACAACTCTTATGCATACTTTAGAATGGAGGACAACTCTTATGCACTTTAGAATGGAGGAAAACTCTTATGCACTTTAGAATGGAGGAAAACTCCTATGCATAATTTAACATAGAGGAAAATGTTGAGATAGTAAATGCAACTGACGTATTCTTCTGGCAGTGTTCTCTCCCTCTCTCCATCTTTAAATGATGTTATGGTCATTTAACTGAATACTTGACGCAACGGCAAAATTTTAAATTAAGTAAAACGCAATATAACTATCTAGTTTTTGTTGTAACATGAAATAGGTTAAATCGCGTCACGTGACGCATTAATATCAGACGATATTAGCTAATAGCATCGGAAAGTATGTAGTCATATTGTTCGTATGTCTTTCATGTACTTTGACAATATTGTTAAATGGTGATAACAATAATGTTCAGTTATTTATTGATATTCTTTATTATATTATAACTATTTTATAACTGTTTGCAATAATAAAAGTTGAACGTCTTCCCGTAAAATAGCAAATTCAATTTTGAAGAGAACCGAACATATTTGCCTCTCCTAATGTACTAATGTTTAAGATTTGCAACGCAGCTATTATATACGGATTTTGTGAATTAGATACAACAGGCACTGCAGTAACACAATTTCCACAAAACGTTCATTATGTTGTTCATGCGTGTTTATTTGATCGTATTGTCTGCAGTCATTGAAATAAGTATTAACGGTGAAAAATAGTAATACGAATTTATTCACCAAATTAGACCAGCACGGCTTGATTTTATCATGTAGTATATTAAGGGAGTTTTTTAAGTATAATTCTTTGTGTCAATTAGTAAGATCACTATTCTGTTTGGTACTTATATTTAATTTAATAGAGATAACATAGGTACTGTGCTAATCCTTCTAAGAAATTTAGAATCGTACACTAAGGTTAATTACTTTTCCCGAGCAAACTTCAACTTTTTGTATAGAGTATTGACTGTGTCGCCATGGTAACATAAGATCCTTTACTTATCAGTTATCCATGTAGAATTTAATCAGACCTTCTTGTTGTAGGGTTTAATGCCATTTTTCCAGCACAAAATAATAGATACATGGCGGCCAGTATAAATGGTGGATGAAGCAATATGGAAAACCACATACACATGTTGGCCTACATTGGTCTTTACGCATGTCAACTTTATATTCTCATATGATCCATTGATGCGTTGATATTTTAGCTTTAGCATGAAAAAGAAACTAATTTATCGATATTAATATTATGAAAGATATATATATATATATATATATATATATATATATATATATATATATATATAGATATATATATATATATATATATATATAATTTGGTAATTTCCTGTTTTGTCTTTGTCTGCAGAATGTTTACATTCATGGTGAAATTGAGCAAACTATAAAACAAAGAACATTTAAGATATAATTCTGGTATACACGACTGTAACACTAGTTGAAACCTTTCCTATTTCTCATTCAAGTTTTAAATCAGCACAACTCTGTATTCTCTATGCACATTAAAGTTTCAAATCAGTACAACTCTGTATATTCTAAGCATAATACAGTTTTAAATCAGTACAACTCTATATTCTCTATGCACAGTAGAGTTTCAAATCTGTACATGCATATTTTAAGCATAGTAAAGTTTCAAATCAGTACAACTCTGCATATTCTAAGCATAATACAGTTTTAAATCAGTACAACTCTATATTCTCTATGCACAGCAGAGTTTCAAATCTGTACAACAATGCATATTTTAAGCATAGTAAAGTTTCAAATCAGTACAACTCTGCATATTCTAAGCATAATACAGTTTTAAATCAGTACAAATCTATATTCTCTATGCACAGTAGAGTTTCAAATCTGTACAACAATGCATATTTTAAGCATAGTAAAGTTTCAAATCAGTACAACTCTGCATATTCTAAGCATAATACAGTTTTAAATCAGTACAACTCTATATTCTCTATGCACAGTAGAGTTTCAAATCTGTACAACAATGCATATTTTAAGCATAGTAAAGTTTCAAATCAGTACAATTCTGCATATTCTAAGCATAATACAGTTTAAATCAGTACAACTCTATATTCTCTATGCACAGTAGAATTTCAAATCTGTACAATTGCATACTCTAAACACAGTAAAGTTTTGAATCAGTACAAGCTATACTTTCTAAGTACAGTAAAGTTTTAAATCTGTACAATTTTGCATACTCTAAGCACTTAAAGCTTTAAATCTGTACAAGCTATACTCTCTAAGTACAGTAAAGTTTTAAATCTGTACAAGCTATACTCTCTAAGTACAGTAAAGTTTTAAATCTGTACAATTCTGCATACTCTAAGCTCTTAAAGTTTAAAATCGGTAGAACTCTGAATACCCCATTTTCTTAAAGTATAAATATAGACTGTCCAACATGAAATACATAATGGTTTAAATTAGTGCAGAGTAATGGACCACTTCATTGGCATAGTGGTCAGAGCGTCCGCCTGAGATGCGGGAGGATGCAGGTTCAAACCCCCTCCGAGTCTTGCCATAGACTTATACAAATGGTAATAACAGATGCCTCGTTCGGCGCTCAGCATTAGGAGGTTAGAATTCTGTCTGGTCAGTCTGGTGTCAGGATAATGTCTGCGGCATGGTGATCCAGTGCTGGACATAACTATAAAATGCTTCAATGCAAACTTTGTAGCGATATGACTGGAAAATGTTAAAGTTATGTTAATAAGCCGAATCACACGCATACTCTGCAGTAATGGATTAATGCTTGCGAAGATTGTTGTACCAAAAGTTTCCTTTTCGTTCAGTTATTTACGTTGAAAATTAGAGATGACAGCCATTGCAAATGTCCCCTTTTTAAAAACAATATTCATTAACAGTACAGTTCAAACCCGTCACAACGCGGTTCGTTATAACGCGATTCGATTCCGCTTATAACGAGATGACAGCATGGCTCCCATTTTTTTCAATTCAAGGTGACCTTTCTTCTTAACATCCTAAAGCCGAGTAATCGTATCCCTAACAGGTTTTTGATCACAAAACTGCGTTAATTATGCCTTAACTTTACAGTGCACCGTTTCCGCCATATTGGAATGTATATAATTTAAAACTGAAGTATATACAATGTTTGATGAAACCTGGTAAGCAAAACAAACGATATATGGTCAAGAAGTTAGTTAAAACTGTTGACATTGAAATTTCAATGCTCATTTTTTTATGGTGATGTTTTTCGAAAATTGTTAATGCGATCACGCTTATATCGCAATGTTATTCTTTGGTCCCAACGTTGCATTATAACGGGGTTTATCTGTATTAATTATTGAACTGTAGGAACACCCCCCCCTTACCTAACAAATTGCCTGCATTAAAGAATGAATACATTCGTTGGCATCCATTCATTCTTGTAAAGCATTAAACCAATCAACGTCCATCTAGTTCAGATTACAGGAAGTTGTGTAACTAAGGGTGCAAAGACAGACTGGTATACCGGCATATTGCGGTTTGCTGCTGTCGATATACATATCGCAATACGGTTTCTGCACCGCGATTTTTCCAAATTGATTCAAAAACCATATTTTTACCCCTAGATGCACGCTTATTATTGTATCCAATGCCAGGAAAGCATGATCGACATATTTTGCAATTAGGTTGACATGATTGATCTCTTAACTCCAAATAATAAAAAAAAACAACAGCAAAACATTTAAACAAACAATGGTCGCATCTGGCGTTTTCCGTGTAAAATATATGGTCGGTAAGATCAAAGTGCTTAGCCCACGTTAACTTCCTTTTCTTTTTTCCAAATATCGATTAGCGTCGACTTATTTTTCAAGTTTTAGTACAAATCGCATTTAATCATTTTAAATTAAATATAAATTGTTCTTTTAAAAATTTAACACTAAATTTCTTTAACCAAAGTCTATTCAATCCTGATTATTGAATGCTCTGCGCGTTACCTGTAACCAAAAAATTTCCAGACAAACATTATCTATCGCAATAGGTGTTTTACAATGGTGGCCATGTATTAAACTTGGGTGAAAATAAGAGTGTGTCTAGTGGAATCGTCACAATCGAGAGTGGTACGAACTTTGGGCGTATCATTGTACCTCATAATGTAACCATTGGGCCATATATCTTCATTCCCGGAAACTGCACCAAGGAAACAAAACTATTAGTGTTATGTACACATCCACTTCACCAAGGACACCTTCACGTCACCAAGGACACATCCACGTCAAAAACATGATACCCGTTACTACAATCATATCCAATACAATATCTACGCATATCAATTGTGTGTCAAACATTACTATTGAAATTATGTATTTGTTCATCCATCCTTCTATTTGTCTCTGATTGTTGGTCTGTCAGTAAATCTCTCTTAACCCTCCCCACCCTCCTAACATATTAAAGACAAAATGAGCGTAGTGGATTTTCGCAAGTCATGCAAAGATGTTTCTGGTCCAATGGATAAACACAATTGTATGGACTATAAGAGTGTTAATTAAAGCCTAGTAATGAATTATAACAACAGTACATACATTTAAAAGTCTGAATTACCTCTTGCTGGTTCGTCATTGCGTTTCGTTTATAATTCAAAGTCGTTTCAATACACAAGCCTGTATGCAAATGGATGTATACGTTAGTACTCTACCTTCTTCAGTTAAAGCTTAAATGAAATCCTCTCTCTCTCTCTCTCTCTCTCTCTCTCTCTCTCTCTCTCTCTCTCTCTCTCTCTCTCTCTCTCTCTCTCTCTCTCTCTCTCTCTCTCTCTCTATATATATATATATATATATATATATATATATATAATTGTGACTCATATTCGTTTAATTAGTATGAATGAATATATAAACTAATAAAAAAGATAATAAACAACTTATCTGTCTGCAGAAAGGATTGTGAATAGCTGCGAAATTTACAGAACTACATTTTGCATCGTACACACTGTGCAGGAATGTAAAGTGTTCATTTTTTGCATTATTATCCAGTTGTCTGTAACGAATCGTAACTCAGTTCAAAAGGAAGCACAAATAAAATCCACGTGTATTGTGTATGATTGATATACCACTTTTATAAATTTTTCATTAACATACAAATGTGCAAGCTTTGTTTCCTTGTAATGAAAAATGTATACATATCGAAATTAAGTCTCAGAAAGTCCCATTTGAATAGATCGTGATACCATAAAACTGATCCATTTGAATACATTGTAACTTCATAAAAATGATTCATCGCGACTACATAAAAATGATCCATTATGAATACATAAAAATGATCCATCATGACTACATAAAACTGATTCATCATAACTACATAAAAATGAGCCATCATGACTACATAAAAATGTACCAAAATAACTGCATAAAACTGATTCATCGCGACTTCATAAAAATGATCCTTCATGGCTACATATAAAATGATTCATCATGAATACATAAAAATGATCCATCATGACTACATAAAAATGAGCCATCATGACTACATAAAACTGATTCATCATGACTACATAAAAATGATCCATCATGACTACATTAAAATGAACCATCATGACTACATAAAAATGAACCATTTGATGCCTCGAGGATAAATTTTCTTTTGTTTTGGCTGAAGTATGCGCCAGTTAAATCCTTGAGTGTGATGAATCATTACCATCACTTATCCGACAAAATTGTCATTGTTGTTTCTTTGCATAAGCGTCAACAGTAACTGTTCCAATTTGGTTCAGTTTCTCTGATACCATATGTGCAGACTTATATCTTGATGGGTATATTCATATAGCAATCATACTTAGTTTTATTGAAATTATGTCATTTTGTCTGATGACGTTGAATGTACAGTTATGAAACTTGACCTCTGTTTTCATCTTGGTGGGTATTATTGCTATTCTTCCCGGACAAAAGAAGGTCACCGCAACTTTGCTAGCTTGACTGACTGCGATTTTCTAAAGGTGGGTGGGGTGGATGAAGTGGTGGTGGATAAACTGCACGATGGAGTAGAAATTCTTGTGGAATTCTTGTTTGTTTTATTGGCATTAAAAGTGTGATGTTTGCGTACCATAGGTAAACATGTAAGTAAATGTTTTCTGGATTATTTATGTTTTGTTTATAATTAATTTCAGAATTGAAACACGCATTGTCACCTGATCCTTGGTGAAGACCCCCCAAGAAACGTGGGAGTGAAGTTACATACGTAAGTCATCGTTTTTTCCTAGTTTGGCCTAAATAAAGCGTCGTAAGAGCAAGGAGCGGAGGAGTCACATGTTAAAGTCTGATGTTTATCAGAAACAACTGTAAACTGAATTTTGTTTCAGATTATACAGAGATGAACGTAACCGTATCTGTCATGATAAAAACTGAATGTAAAAATAAATTGAAAATCGAACTGATTATTTGTCCCATATTAAGATTTAAGATGTTAACAAACACAAACTTTTTTCTCAACACTTACAGTTTCAACTGACAGAATTCGGATAGAAATATATAATAATTACGAACTTCACATAATTTATACACAAAGATTATTTCGTGTGTGCAGGAATGTTTGCCTTTCACTCGCAGTAAAATATATAAAACGTCTTTTAAATACACACTTTTTTAACCCAGAGTCATTGAATTGATATGCTAAGGGATGGGATATAACGGCATTAATCGTTCTAGAAACAATAACGTAAAAAACAATGTCCGTTCAGCTTTAATTTATAACCCTGAAAAAGGCGTAAGCTTTCGATACCATTTTATGGAAGAATCCATCGCAATATTCTTTCAATAGAAATTTATTCATTTTGTCTCATTAAGTTGAAAAGTGCAGTCTGAGCTCAGACTTTTCATCTTGTCTTATTCCATTGTGCTATTTATTAAGGATTTCAAATTCTGGACGCGTAAAATTGTTTTTTTTTTGACATGTTTCGAAAACAAGCATTGTTAATTATAGGCGGTTGTCCCAGTCTGCATAATTGGTCACATCGTCTTCAAATGAGACGAATATGCTTCCGTTCTACTACCATGACCAAAACAACTATATTTATGTGGACAAAAGTACAACGGCATTTGCCTCTAATTTACTACATTAACACAATGCAAGATGACTTTGGATCTGTCATCATCAACAAACACTTCAATTTTTCTCAGATTTTTTTTTGTTGCAAGTCCATGCATTTCTTTTATAGCAACTATTTAGACAAGCCAATTATAGGGTCTAATTAGGAAAAGAATATTTTATTAGACTTAATCTAGCGCTGACTGACCTGGCAGCTGGCGTTGAAAACCGTAAAGGTAAAGTCGCTCTAAGCTTCTGACTTGTTTAATCAGATTTAATCATTTTCAGACAATATTTGGATTCCTTTTCGTGCAGATAATAATAATAATAATAATAATAATAATAATAATAATAATAATAATAATAATAATAATGAAATTAATAATAAAATTAATAATAATAATAATAATAATAATAATAATAATAATAATAATGAAATTAATAATAAAATTATTATTAATAATAATAATAATAATAATAATAATAATAATAATAATAATAATAATAATAATGAAATTAATAATAAAATTAAAAATAATAATAATAATAATAATAATAATAATAATAATAATAATAATAATAATAATACAATTTCTCGTCATATCTCTACGATATTTGCAGTGTGATGTCTAGCACTGGAGCATCATGAAACAAACATGTGGCATGACGTCCCACCCAGTCACATTATCATTACACCAGGCCAACCAGTTTTAAACTAATCTCTGAATGTCGAGCGCCAAGCGAGACATATGTTAGTATTATTTTCATAAGTCTTTGATATGACTCAGCCAGGATTCGAACCCGCAACATCCCGCATCCAAGGCGGACGCTCCAACCACCACGCCATTGGAGCGGTCGAGAAAATGGGAGAAAAGAAAACAAGAAAGAAAAAAGTATCTAGATCCTATGTCGTGAAGACAGGAAATAAATATTGACTCCGAACCTTTTCGTAATTTTAATGTATTTTTATTCTACCTATAATTGACAGCTCCGATGGCCCAGTGGTTAGAACGTTCGCCTCAGATGTGGGAGGTCATGGGTTCTAACTCTGGCCGAGTCATACCAACGATGCTGAAATACTAGACATCACTATAAAGTACCAAAATACAAACATCGCAGCGATATGACTGAACTTTTTTTTTAAAGCTATGTTAAAAATGAAAATCACACACTCACACACACACACACACACACACACACACACACACACACACACACACACACAAACACACACACAAAACACACACACTATACATATATATTGATTTTGCTCTTTCGATATTTTGGTATTTCCTTTTAACAATAAATCCAAATTTTAAATTCACTGTGCTTAGTTAAAGAAGCATATAGACCTTTGTTTAGCATGCTTGCAGTATGAAAAGAAATAATCCATTACAGACCTTTGTTTAGCAGACTTGCAGTAGGAAAAGAAATAATACCATTACAGACCTTTCTTTAGCATGCTTGCATTAGAAAAGAAATAATACCATCACATATCTTTGTTTAGCATGCCTGCAGTAGGAAAATAAATAATACCATTATAGACCTTTGATTAACATGCATGCATTAGAAAAAATAATACCATTATAGATCTTTGTTTAGCATGCCTGCAGTAGGAAAATAAATAATACCATTACAGAACTTTGTTTAGCATGCTTGTAGTATGAAAAGAAATAATACCATTACAGATCTTTGTTTAGCATGCATGCATTAGAAAAGAAATAATACCATTACAGATCTTTGTTTAGCATGCCTGCAGTATGAAAAGATAGGATAAGATAAGAATTCTTTATTTCAGACTGCATAGCCCATACTTCTAAATTGAAATACTGATATAGAGTAAAACATTGTAAACATTAAAGAACATATATATATATATATATATATATATATATACATACATATACATACACATATACATATACACACACAAACAAATACACATACACACATACATACATATATATATATATATATATATATATATATATATATATATATATATATATATATATATATATATATATATATATATATATATATACATACACACATACACATACATACATATATACATACACATATACATATATATACAAATACACATACACAAACACACACACATATATATATATATATATATATATATATATATATATATATATATATATATATATATATATACATACACACACACATACATATACACTAAAACATATATACAATAATACCATTACAGATCTTTGATTAGCATACTTGCAGTAGGAGAATATACACATATGCACATACACACACACACACACATATATATATATATATATATATATATATATATATATATATATATATATATATATATATATATATATATATACACACTAATGCAAATAATACCACTACAGATCTTTGATTAGCATGCTTGCAGTAGGAGAATATACACATACACATACACACATACATATACACTAAAACATATATACAATAATACCATTACAGTAGGAAAAGAAATAATACCATTATAGTCCTTTGTTTAGCATGCTTGCAGTAGGAAAACAAATAATACCATTATAGATCTTTGTTTAGCATGCATGCATCAGAAAAGAAAAAATACCGTTACAGACCTTTGATTAACATGCATGCATTAGAAAAGAAATAATGCCATTACAGATCTTTATTTAGCATGCTTGCAGTAGGAAAAGAAATAATACCATTACAGATCTTTATTTAGCATGCATGCATTAGAAAAGAAATAATACCATTACAGATCTTTGTTTAGCATGCCTGCAGTATGAAAAGATAGGATAAGATAAGAATTCTTTATTTCAGACTGCATAGCCCATACTTCTAAATTGAAATACTGATATAGAGTAAAACATTGTAAACATTAAAGAACATATATATATATATATATATATATATATATATATATATATATATATATATATATATATATATATATATATATATATATATATATATATACATACATATACATACACATATACATATACACACACAAACAAATACACATACACATACATATATATATATATATATATATATATATATATATATATATATATATATATATATATATATATATATATATATATATATACATACACACATACACATACATACATATATACATACACATATACATATATATACAAATACACACATACACATACACACACACACACACATATATATATATATATATATATATATATATATATATATACATACACACATACATATACACTAAAACATATATACAATAATACCATTACAGATCTTTGATTAGCATACTTGCAGTAAGAGAATATACACATATGCACACACACACACACACACACACATATATATATATATATATATATATATATATATATATATATATATATATATATATATATATATATATATATATATATATATACACTAATGCAAATAATACCACTACAGATTTTTGATTAGCATGCTTGCAGTAGGAGAATATATACATACACATGCACACATACATATACACTAAAACATATATACAATAATACCATTACAGTAGGAAAAGAAATAATACCATTATAGTCCTTTGTTTAGCATGCATGCAGTATGAAAAGAAATAATACCATTATAGACCTTTGTTTAGCATGCATGCAGTATGAAAAGAAATAATACCATTACAGACCTTTGTTTAGCATGCTTCCAGTAGGAAAGAAATAATACCATTACAGACCTTTGTTTAGCATGCATGCATTAGAAAAGAAATAATACATTTACAGATCTTTGTTTAGCATGCATGCATTAGAAAAGAAATAATACATTTACAGATCTTTGTTTAGCATGCCTGCAGTAGGAAAAGAAATAATGTTCATTCTTCTCCACATACACAGACATGCGTGTCACTTAAACGGAGCTGCAAGAAGCAGCAATTATTCACCAACGTTGCTTTTATAATCGATTATTTTCTATCACATGTCAAAGGTTTTGAAAGCATTAGATTTTAGAATCAAGGATTGTTTAAACTTCCCTAGCAATGTTATCCGAAAGATTATTTTCTAATTGACACTGGATAGTTAAGATACCTGTATGAAACAGAAATCCAGTCAAACTTCAAACACAATTGATCTCAGCTTATTTCGCTTTCGGAAGCTGCAATCAAATCCTGTACAAAGCATGTTGATAATCAAATGGAAAGTTACTAGTTTTTGTTTTTATAAGTTTTCCTGTCATTCGAGGAAAACATAACTGTTTCTAAATATAAAAGCATTCTTTATTTGAGTGACGGTGCAAAATTGATAATGCGTGCTGCTTCAGACTGGACTATTTCTATAATAATAATAATAATAATAATAATAATAATAATAATAATAATAATAATAATAATAATAATAACGAGGACTTTATAAAGCGCATAATCTTTAGATACTTTAAGCTTTACAACATTTGACAACGCTTAGAAAAGAACATGAAAAACAAACCATATATAATGAAATGATTACAAAAATTAAAAAAATTAAAAACAAACACCAAAAAATTATAATCAGAAAACATGCTGTAAACTTTTAAGGTAAGGATACGTTATAATGATACATTACTAGGTCTTTATGACTGTTCTTGCAGTTAAAATATACGAGTTTTAAGAGCGCTATTGAATGAGATCAATGTGTCTTTGTGTCTAAGTGCAGTGGGCAATTCGTTCCACGTTGCTGGGCCCTGGTATGTAAAAGAACGTTGTCCATATGATTTCAACTTCATAGTGGAAATAGTGAGAATGAGAGTGTCAAAAAAGGGACGTAAGCATCTTGCATGTGTATACACATGGGTGAAGTCAGATAGGTATGTTGGACTGGATCCCGTCAGTGAAACGTTGCACAGAGAACAAATTTTGTTTGATTCTGAATCGTATGGATAGCCAATGTAGGGTACATAGCAACGGAGAGGCGTCCTCTGATCGTGGTATTCCAAAAATGATCCGAGCAGTAGTGTTCTGAACCTTTTGAAGTTTCTGAAGTAGATATTGAGATGAACAAGACAGAATTGAGTTACAATAGTCCGTCCAGTCTTGAAAATACTAAGGAACACACAAGTGTGTATCAAAATTTTAATATAGCAACTTAATGCGATTAATCTTAATCGAGTTCATCCTAGGACAACAAACATTAATATTAATAAGCCATGTATAATGTTGGATAGTAAAAACGTTAATGATCTAAAGAATGATATATTTTGTTCTCCTATTTTGTATATATCTTCAATGCACTTATTCAAAAATACCATTTTCAGGAAGCAAAAAAATAAAAGACTTAATAACGGGTATTCATGCGTGCTAAATGCCTTAATAACGGGTACTCATGCATGCTAAAAGCCTTAATAACGGGTACTCATTAATGCTAAAAACCTTAATAACCGGTACGCATGATTGCTAAAAACCTTAATAACCGGTATTCATGCATGCTAAAAACCTTAATAACCCGTACTCATGCATGCTAAAAGCCTTAATAACCTGTACTCATGCATGCTAAATGCCTTAATAACGGGTACTCATGCATGCTAAAAACCTTAATAACCGGTACTCATGCATGCTAAAAACCTTAATAACGGGTACTCATGCATGCTAAAAACCTTAATAACGGGTACTCATGCATGCTAAAAACCTTAATAACCGGTATTCATGCATGCTAAAAGCCTTAATAACCGGTACTCATGCATGTTAATGCCTTAAAAACGGGTACTCATGCATGCTAAAAGCCTTAAAAACGGGTATTCATGTATGCTAAAAACCTTAATAACGGGTACTCATGCATGCTAAAAGCCTTAATAACGGGTACTCATGCATGCTAAAAGCCTTAA